GGCCCATGGCAGATTACGGGCCTGGCAGCAGCAATGGGAGGCCCGTAATCTGCCAGCACCCTATGACAAAATGGAACCCACCAGCAGTGTGAGGAGACCTGAAAGTGGCACATGGCAGAGTGTGGCGATGGAGACAGCAGCAATGGGAGGCCGTACAGGGACCCATGACACACTCTGGACCTGGCAGCAGCATGAGGAGGCGGTACAGGGGCCCATGACAGATTACGGGCCTGGATGCAGCATGAGGAGTCGGTACGGGGGCCCATGGCAGATTACGGGCTGGCAGCAGCAATGGGAGGCCCGTAATCTGCCAGCACCCTATGACAAAATGGAACCCACCAGCAGTGTGTGGAGACCTGAAAGTGGCACATGGCAGAGTGTGGCGATGGAGACAGCAGCAATGGGAGGCCGTACAGGGACCCATGACACACTCTGGACCTGGTAGCAGCATGAGGAGGCGGTACAGGGGCCCATGACAGATTACGGGCCTGGCAGCAGCATGAGGAGTCGGTACGGGGGCCCATGGCAGATTACGGGCCTGGCAGCAGCAATGGGAGGCCGTACAGGGACCCATGACACACTCTGGACCTGGCAGCAGCATGAGGAGGCAGTACAGGGGCCCATGACAGATTACGGGCCTGGCAGCAGCATGAGGAGTCGGTACGGGGGCCCATGGCAGATTACGGGCCTGGCAGCAGCAATGGGAGGCCGTACAGGGACCCATGACACACTCTGGACCTGGCAGCAGCATGAGGAGGCGGTACAGGGGCCCATGACAGATTACGGGCCTGGCAGCAGCATGAGGAGTCGGTACGGGGGCCCATGGCAGATTACGGGCCTGGCAGCAGCAATGGGAGGCCCGTAATCTGCCAGCACCCTATGACAAAATGGAACCCACCAGCAGTGTGAGGAGACCTGAAAGTGGCACATGGCAGAGTGTGGCGATGGAGACAGCAGCAATGGGAGGCCGTACAGGGACCCATGACACACTCTGGACCTGGCAGCAGCATGAGGAGGCGGTACAGGGGCCCATGACAGATTACGGGCCTGGCAGCAGCATGAGGAGTCGGTACGGGGGCCCATGGCAGATTACGGGCCTGGCAGCAGCAATGGGAGGCCCGTAATCTGCCAGCACCCTATGACAAAATGGAACCCACCAGCAGTGTGGAGAGACCTGAAAGTGGCACATGGCAGAGTGTGGCGATGGAGACAGCAGCAATGGGAGGCCGTACAGGGACCCATGACACACTCTGGACCTGGCAGCAGCATGAGGAGGCGGTACAGGGGCCCATGGCAGATTACGGGCCTGGCAGCATCATGAGGAGTCGGTACGGGGGCCCATGGCAGATTACGGGCCTGGCAGCAGCAATGGGAGGCCCGTAATCTGCCAGCACCCTATGACAAAATGGAACCCACCAGCAGTGTGAGGAGACCTGAAAATGGCACATGGCAGAGTGTGGAGATGGAGACAGCAGCAATGGGAGGCCGTACAGGGACCCATGACACACTCTGGACCTGGCAGCAGCATGAGGAGGCGGTACAGGGGCCCATGACAGATTACGGGCCTGGCAGCAGCATGAGGAGTTGGTACGGGGGCCCATGGCAGATTACGGGCCTGGCAGCAGCAATGGGAGGCCCGTAATCTGCTAGCACCCTATGACAAAATGGAACCCACCAGCAGTGTGAGGAGACCTGAAAGTGGCACATGGTAGAGTGTGGCGATGGAGACAGCAGCAATGGGAGGCTGTACAGGGACCCATGACACACTCTGGACCTGGCAGCAGCATGAGGAGGCGGTACAGGGGCCCATGACAGATTACGGGCCTGGCAGCAGCATGAGGAGTCGGTACGGGGGCCCATGGCAGATTACGGGCCTGGCAGATGACGACGAGGCTGCCAAGTGCGATCAGACTCATCATCATCAATTAGGGTCTCCGCCTCACTACTAGCCCCCTCGGCTGCGTGTGGGTCAGGAGACAGACCTGTCTCTAGACCGGCTACCGAGCCACTCTCCTCGCCAGTACTTCTTCGCCTGACTGCTGAAGAGGCGGATGTCTCCCCCCGTTCCTGACCGCCCTCTGTTAGCTCTTCCTCACTGTACAGTGGGGCTGAGCCCACAGCATGCGATACTTTGCTTGGTGAGGGAACACCAAAGGACAGGGGCAGGTAGAGGACACGTGATTTCAGTGGGCTTGCTCCCGGGCCATGCCAACTAACGGTTGTGTCTGACGTACCCACCGACCGTTGGCTGTAGGTGTCAGAGGTGACCTGGGAAGAGGAAGACGACCGAGCCAACCAATCGATGACGGCAGGGTTGTCGGTGGAGACATGACCGCTGGATGACACCGGGAGCACTGGCCTCTGGCTGCGACTAGTGCTGCCTCGACCCCTTCCTCTGCTGCCACGTCTGCTCGCTCCTGAAACATTGCCTCCTCTGCCACTCCTCTGCGTGTTGTCTGACATACTCTTTAATTCAACGATTCTGTGTCCCTGAGTAACGATTCTGTGTCCCTGAGTAACAATTCTGTGTCCCTGAGTAACAATTCTGTGTCCCTGAGTAACGATTCTGTGTCCCTGAGTAACGATTCTGTGTCCCTCAGTAACAATTCTGTGTCCCTGAGTAACAATTCTGTGTCCCTGAGTAACAATTCTGTGTCCCTGAGTAACGATTCTGTGTCCCTGAGTAACAATTCTGTGTCTGTCCCTGAGTAACAACTCTGTGTCCCTGAGTAACAATTATGTGTCCCTGAGTAACAATTCTGTGTCCCTGAGTAACGATTCTGTGTCCCTCAGTAACGATTCTGTGTCCCTCAGTAACGATTTTGTGTCCCTGAGTAACAATTCTGTGTCCCTGAGTAACAATTCTGTGTCCCTGAGTAACGATTCTGTGTCCCTCAGTAACAATTCTGTGTCCCTCAGTAACAATTCTGTGTCCCTGAGTAACAATTCTGTGTCCCTGAGTAACAATTATGTGTCCCTGAGTAACGATTCTGTGTCCCTGAGTAACGATTCTGTGTCCCTGAGTAACGATTCTGTGTCCCTGAGTAACAATTCTGTGTCTGTCCCTGAGTAACAATTCTGTGTCCCTGAGTAACAATTCTGTGTCCCTGAGTAACGATTCTGTGTCCCTGAGTAACATTTCTGTGTCCCTGAGTAACGATTCTGTGTCCCTGAGTAACGATTCTGTGTCCCTCAGTAACAATTCTGTGTCCCTGAGTAACGATTCTGTGTCCCTGAGTAACGATTCTGTGTCCCCTCAGTAACAATTCTGTGTCCCTGAGTAACAATTCTGTGTCCCTGAGTAACAATTCTGTGTCTGTCCCTGAGTAACAATTCTGTGTCCCTGAGTAACAATTCTGTGTCCCTGAGTAACAATTCTGTGTCCCTCAGTAACGATTCTGTGTCCCTCAGTAACAATTCTGTGTCCTTGAGTAACGATTCTGTGTCCCTGAGTAACAATTCTGTGTCCCTGAGTAACAATTCTGTGTCCCTCAGTAACATTCTGTGTCCCTCAGTAACGATTCTGTGTCCCTGAGTAACAATTCTGTGTCCCTGAGTAACAATTCTGTGTCCCTGAGTAACGATTCTGTGTCCCTGAGTAACAATTCTGTGTCCCTGAGTAACGATTCTGTGTCCCTCAGTAACAATTCTGTGTCCCTGAGTAACGATTCTGTGTCCCTGAGTAACGATTCTGTGTCCCTCAGTAACAATTCTGTGTCCCTGAGTAACAATTCTGTGTCCCTGAGTAACAATTCTGTGAGTAACAATTCTGTGTCTGTCCCTGAGTAACAATTCTGTGTCTTGAGTAACAATTCTGTGTCCTGAGTAACAATTCTGTGTCCCTCAGTAACGATTCTGTGTCCCTCAGTAACAATTCTGTGTCCCTGAGTAACGATTCTGTGTCCCTGAGTAACAATTCTGTGTCCCTGAGTAACGATTCTGTGTCCCTGAGTAACAATTCTGTGTCCCTCAGTAACGATTCTGTGTCCCTCAGTAACAATTCTGTGTCCCTGAGTAACAATTCTGTGTCCCTGAGTAACGATTCTGTGTCCCTGAGTAATGATTCTGTGTCCCTGAGTAACAATTCTGTGTCCCTGAGTAACGATTCTGTGTCCCTCAGTAACAATTCTGTGTCCCTGAGTAACAATTCTGTGTCCCTGAGTAACAATTCTGTGTCTGTCCCTGAGTAACAATTCTGTGTCCCTGAGTAACAATTCTGTGTCCCTGAGTAACGATTCTATGTCCCTAAGTAACGATTCTGTGTCCCTAAGTAACGATTCTGTGGCCCTAAAGTCTCTCTGGCCCTAACTCTGTCCCTAATACAGACAGGTCTGTCTCTCTTGAATGACCGGAGGCTAATGGAGAATTGTAAGATGGCCGCAATTTATAGCTCCACCATTACACAGTGCTGGCTGGCTGGCTGCTGATTGGCTAATGCGATCACATGTCATGAATGAATGCATTATGGGTCAGCGCGCCTTGTCTGCGCGCCTTTCCAGAGATCCCCGCTCCGTCGCCACACATGTCGCCGCCATTTTTGGGAAAATTCGATTCATGCATCCGAAGTTTGCTAATTTTCGGATTCGGCGCGAATCGAATTTTTCCTGATCTTCGAAACGAATTTCACTTCGCCATGTTCGATTCGCTCATCTCTAATTATTATATAAATGAGAAAAAAACAGTCTATGCAAAACAAAGCTCACCTATTCCTTATGTAGTATTAGCTTCTTTCTTACCTTCTAGCCACCGTAGTTAGGAAACTCAATCATTTATAGAAGGAAGCTGTCACAGGGTGTTGCAGTGTGTTTCAGGATATATACTGAGAGAAGGGCAGTTTCTGCTTCAGTATGTATGCTTACCAATGCGCTAGCAATGATTTTCATCTTTTCACCTGTGCAGCCTTGACTAGGCAACAAATTTGAGGGTCCGCTATGAACAATTGTTTGTATATGATTGTAGTATTAAACAAACATTGAAGGAGAGATAAAAGAAATAAGTACCTTTCTTTGGTTAGATGTGGCTTCTTATGTGCGGAAGAAGGATGCTTGCTGGTGACCAAGACATAAAAAATAGAGATATGTTAATCTTTAAAAAATTTGAAAAAGAGCTTGTGTTTTTTACTGTATTTTTCTAATTATCAAAATTAGTAAATTATTTCCTTTCAAAGTTTGGCACAGACATATGGACCTAGGCATTCCTACATCCACTCGAGTTGTTGTCATTGCATGTTTACTAAAAGGAAAACTATAATGGAGCTGAGTCAATTTTTTTATCAATTTATTTTAATGTAAGTAATGGTTACTGGTTTTAAAATGAGAAATTACAGTAATAAAGAACAATGTGACTATGCAGGTTATGATAGGCATTACAGCTCTATGTAGGAAAAACAATATTTCGTAGGTTAATTGTAGATGGTTGTATGGCTTACATCTCTGAGGATGGTAAATGCGACTGGAGATAATGGGTGGTTGGTTCCATATGGATATGTTCTTTGTGGTAGTGTATGATGTTTTTAGGCTACTAGAGTACAAAAGGTGTGTTGTGGATAGGAACGGAGTGGATTTGGCATGGCTGGATGGAGCTTGGGTGCCAAGGTATGAGCTTTGCTGTCTGGGGTAATAAAAAAGTTGGTGATATTATAAAGCGTGGATATTAGGATACTTAAGAGGTGGGATGGAGGGTTACAGGGGAGGTTGAACAGGGGTAGGTGGAGAGAAGGCTATCCAGGGAGGAGCCATAGGAAGGGTTTTATGGTGAGAGGCCTAAGTGATTGATGTGTTAGTGGGTCCTGTAGGTAGGTATTAGACTAGACCTATATTGGGTGGGTTAAGGACTTCATGTCTAAGTTTGCCTGTTATGTAGGAGGAGCTGAGTTTGTTCTGGAATGCATTTGTTTGTATGTGTCAGTTAGTTTAAAGAACATCCACATTTTAATGTATGGGGTCATGTTGTCATTGCTGATGTGCATCAACTCTTCCGTTTGTGCCATGCGGTCTATCCATCGGAGCCCATGTTTCATGTCCAACACATTAGAAGTTTTCCAATATCTTTAAATTACCATTTTTGCAGCATTAAAGTAAATTGAAGGAACGTTTATAAGTGGAGATTATAAACCATAAAAATGCTGCGCTACATTCAAACTAATTAAAGTAAATGTGAAATTCAATATCTCAAGAGAAATATTAACAATAATAATAAATATAATTGTAAATGTGCTTAGTGATAACACAAAAAAAAGTGATGACAAAAGCACAAAACTTAAATCAATACGCATGTGCAAAAAAATGCACATACATATATTACATCACACGTGCAAAAATGTGAAGTGAAATATATCTAAATAATACACGCAAACTCAAAGTCCAATGAATATTAAAGGTGAAAAAAAGTTCCAATATTGGAATATTAAAGGTGAAAAAAATATATTTTTTGGTTAACTGTGTTTCCAATATACTGTGAAGTGACCACAGGTGAAACAAAACGTGCAGGTATCTGGGTGTAGATAGAGCTTGTGAATCCAACCACCTTCTGGATTAGCCTCTCACCTCATCACTTCGACCCTTGCGGGTCAAAGAGCAGTAATGGATCCCTCTCACAGATCCTCCAGGCACCAAAGCACTCCAAAACCACTTCTCAGGATATAATATTCCCACTCAGCTCTTCTCCAGGTATAGATGAAATATCAGTAGCAGCCAGTCCACATTAGACCCTCATGCTCTCAAATGAGGATATATGTATGTAAGTTGGGTGTACAGCTGAATCCACAGGTGTACCAAGATGGCCGCCACGCCGGAAATACGTCACCGCGCTACGCCGACGCGTTACGTCACAATATCACGTGACTTCATCAGGGCCCTGATGAAGTCACGTGATATTGTGACGTAACGCGTCGGCGTAGCGCGGTGACGTATTTCCGGCGTGGCGGCCATCTTGGTACACCTGTGGATTCAGCTGTACACCCAACTTACATACATATATCCTCATTTGAGAGCATGAGGGTCTAATGTGGACTGGCTGCTACTGATATTTCATCTATACCTGGAGAAGAGCTGAGTGGGAATATTATATCCTGAGAAGTGGTTTTGGAGTGCTTTGGTGCCTGGAGGATCTGTGAGAGGGATCCATTACTGCTCTTTGACCCGCAAGGGTCGAAGTGATGAGGTGAGAGGCTAATCCAGAAGGTGGTTGGATTCACAAGCTCTATCTACACCCAGATACCTGCACGTTTTGTTTCACCTGTGGTCACTTCACAGTATATTGGAAACACAGTTAACCAAAAAAAATATATATTTTTTTCACCTTTAATATTCCAATATTGGAACTTTTTTTTTTTCACCTTTAATATTCATTGGACTTTGAGTTTGCGTGTATTATTTAGATATATTTCACTTCACATTTTTGCACGTGTGATGTAATATATGTATGTGCATTTTTTTGCACATGCGTATTGATTTAAGTTTTGTGCTTTTGTCATCACTTTTTTTTGTGTTATCACTAAGCACATTTACAATTATATTTATTATTATTGTTAATATTTCTCTTGAGATATTGAATTTCACATTTACTTTAATTAGTTTGAATGTAGCGCAGCATTTTTATGGTTTATATTCACTTGATCATTGGTATATGATTTAATGCTAGCAGCTGTTTGGGGTTCTTTTATTATATATTTTTTATTATTTTAACACACATTTGGAGCGCAGGAGGGTCACACCATTATAAGTGGAGATTGACATGTTACAGAAAAAAAGCCAGATAGAAGTGTAGGCCATGGTCAGAGATGTTTTCAGTTAATTGGTGTACCTGGAACTAGAATGTCTGGTTCCAAATATGGATCAGATTTCTCTTAATTTAAAGATTTTAATTACCATCTACTACGAAGTTTGTAGTTTATTTTTTGTATATTGATATTGATGGAGCCTTTTAAAAGGATCATGTTAATTTATTACCAGCTGTTCTCTGGTAGGGCATTGTGTAGGTCCCTGATCCAGACTACAACTGTGGAGTCTCCACTTGGTGTTTAGTTCTGAAATAAGCTGGAATATATGTGAGAGTAAGTGGAATGTTGCGCAGCTTTTTTGCAAGGTACCTAGTACAGTTCCATTGGCTTTCTGGGGCAAAGAAGAATGTGATCTGTTAGTTGGACCATTGTGAGATGTTGCCTATTGGGTGAGGTCTTGTAGTTCTTGTAGAGTAGCAAAGGTACTTTGTTTAAAGAAGGTTTGAGCAGGGAGGAATGGATTGGTCCATCAGGTGTTAAGGAAGGTCAGACATTAAATCTCAAGGGGATTAGGGGTTTCAATCGGTGGAGAGGTCAAATTTTTTTTACAGGGTATGGAAGGTTTGAAAGGTCGTTTAATTAATGTGTGTTTGTTGAGTATTTTGGGGATATGGATTTTTCTTGATCCAAGGGCAAGTATGTAAAGGAATTGCAGAGATAGCACGCTCAAGTGGTCCATGATCCTTCAGTGTCTTGTGAACGTTCCAGTCCACTATTCTGGATAGTTGGCTAGCCAAGTAATATTTCTCTATTTTATTTTTTAAGCTTATTAGATTTTAAAATATATTATGATTCATCCAGTTGCATGTGTAATTTTTAGCTTGGGCTACTGAGCTTTGTAAATAACAAGATTTTTACAACAAAAAGAAGAAAGGATGTAACCCAGGAAAACAGGGAAACCAAGAACTTCACCTGCTGATTGCATATGTAAAAAAAGAGTATTGCTATCATGCTGTTACCTTGTTTACTTTTTAAGTCATTGGTCTGGAACAAGTAAAAAAATAATTTGGTGACTTGGGTGTAGGCTGCATAGGAATTACTTCCACCACAGTTGCCCCCTACACCACTAGAAGCAATGAAAACAATTAAGAAATAATTTATTTGCTGCATTGCATGAGCAGAGGCGTTGACCCTGCAATGTCAGTTGACTCTATTCTTCAAGTCACTCAGTCAATAAACCAGCTCTCTTAAGAGTCCTGACATCATTGTTTCTGTATTTCAACTAAGGGTAATGTACAGACAGTAAACAGCTTATCAAACCAGGAGATAACTGTTTAGATATTGACCAGGTGGGATTGTAGAAGTTTTCATGTGGTTTCATTGTTTGTATTTGCTCATTATATGACTGCTTGTATTTCACATACTATGCAGATATTTAACTAAAGTCTTAAAGAACCAAACTGACACTGATTATAATTTGTAGAGACACTTTACTATGCTTGAGTGTAAACAGTAATTTATTACCTTACAAGTAATTAAAAGCAAAATGTGATGCATTCTGTGATTGCATGATTCTGTGATAATCTAGATGTAGGTGGCTCATTGTCTCTAAGCTGCCGTGGGTAAAGAGCTGTGCATCTTTAAAAATTAAATCAGTCTTTGATGTAGAATCATTAGATTAGCTTACAAATACAGATCACAGCTTACTCATACATGGCTATATTCTAATGACAGCCTCCTCATTAATATTTATTACTGCACTACCGTCTTTCAGTGTAACGTCTTTCTTCTTTCAATGTGCATAATTGGAAATATCAGCAATGGAAACTTATTGAAAAGAAGAATAAGGAACAAAACTAAGAAGCCTGGCCACATTTGCACAATAGAAGCAGGCCTGTGACATTTCAACACTTACCTTGCAGGCTCAGTCTTGGCAAGAGAATGCTTGACCATGGGAACAGAGGTACCATTACCTTTGTATGAAGATTCTAGCAGAGAGCACACAGAAAAATGGCATATATATCAAGAGGACAAAAGGGCAAGAGGAAAAAAAAACTATGAAAGTAGAAGCATGTACAAAATAAATAGAGTCAGCATATTGTTTCCATGTGTCATTTATGGCTATCTTTGTGAATATCTGTCCCTTCTATTATAAAATACAGAATTGTAACTAAAGAACTCAGAGCATACCTCCAATTGTCCCATACTTCGTTGAACTGTCGTAGAGTTTCAACAAACTCCTGCTTCCCATGAATCCAGACTGCGTCCTGGAGGTCAGTCCTGGAACACTCATTCCTCTTATACATAAACTTTAAAAGCTATCTAAGTCTGTAAAGAATGAGCATAGTAGGGAGTAATACTTGTGATTGGTCTGACTGAAACCTAGCTAAAATACAATCCTATTCCCAGTTATGTTCATTCCAAGCATCCAATAATTCTGAATTAGAAGAAAGAGAAGAACTAACATACACATGGTACCATCTAGGCAGACTGACTGCACACCATAGACCATTTTCTATCCACCAGACCACAATCTTCTCTAAGAATGTTTTACACAATGTGGGTGAAAGACCAGTGATGTGTTATTGTAACTTGAACATTTTTTTCTTTCATCACTGTACCTACTTACCTAGTAGTTTTTTCCATTCTCTGATGATGATTTTGGCAAGTTCTACAATGTGGTGGTCCTTGTTGTACTTCTTTAACTTGTTTACAGTGACCCCAATCTTTGTGCTCTGAGGATGGAAGAAAAAAAAAAACTGTGGTCTCGTCATTCTATAAAAAAAACAGATAAATACTCCTAACTAGCATTAAAGCTGAACTCCAGGATGCCTGGAAAATTTCACCTTTGCAGCTACTCAGTATGCATATGAGAAAGTTTGTTGTTACAAAAGAAAAAGAGCCCAGTTAAAACAAAATATACCTTTGAAAACGCTGTGATGTCATCATTCCAGAGAGGCAGGTATATCAAATTCACTCTCTGAACATCCTCACAATTGCAAATGACAGTTCCCATAATTCCATGAGAATTTCATCTTGGAATGGGCAGGATTACAGTGTGGGGTCATTGGGGGGGTCCCTCAGAAAGCACAATGTAAATGAGATGGTCAGACCAGGGTCCTGCCCACTAGATAGTGTCACAGCATGGGGACATACTGCTTCCTCCTACACGGCAATACAAAGGCAAATTTACAAGACCAATAGCCAGGGGAATAGCAGGGATATTGTCCACCAGTCTTGTGAAAAGGAGGTCAGGGTGGCACAGCAGGATTGAGCACTGATTCAGTTAAAAAATTTTTAAAAGGCAGAGCACTTATATGAAAAGAGCTAAAGAATTTAGTGTAAGGTAAGACATGACCTTTTATTTTATCTAAGAATAGTACTGTCCAAAGTTCGGCTTAAAGTAGAATTGTGGCCACCCATTTAAAAAAATAAAACAACTTAATTATATGTGCATCTGCCATCCAATTTTCTCTTGGTCCCCATGCAAAGTCCCACAAAACCTATGGATCCATGCCAGTGAAGTCTACCCAGGGGCGGATTGACAACTCATGGGGCCCCCGGGCAACAGAGGATCATGGGGCCCCTGTTTTCTTGCCCAAACTCAAAAAAGCCTATGAAAAAAAGGTACCAGGGGCATCTCATGGGGCCCCCTACTGACCCCGGGCCCTCGGGCAGTGCCCGAGTTTCCAAATGGTCAGTCCGCCCCTGAGTCTACCTAATCCAACTTCTTATAGTGAGACAACAATGTTGCACAGCTCCTGAATTCAGAACAGAGCTTCCACTCTATAGGCTGTGTCTATTTGCACTAAAGTGGGATAAAAAATGTTGCAGGGGGCATGGCTATCAACATAGCCATTACTAATTTAATTGCCTTTAACTTATTGACATATAGGCCCTTTTGCTGTGAGCTGCAGTATCTGAAAAACAAATGATGGAATGTTTGTCTCTTCTTTTATGAGGTTTGTACATCACATAGCAACTTTTTTTGTACCTGTTTAGACTGTGATACAGAAGCCTTTGGTTTTACTTTAACCAATACCACATTAAGATTCTAGCAAATTGTTACTGACTGATCTGAACATGCTTCTGAATTGGGAGCAGTGTTGCCAACTGTCTGAATTTTTACGGACAGCAAGTAAAAATCCGGCACTTTTTTCCTGCCTGTAAATGTCCATAACAGGAGAAAAGTGCCAGTGAAAAATGGCTGGAACGGCTTGGCTCGGAACTGCGCGTGTGCAGTTCTGGCATCCAAAGCCACCTGACGAGTTCGGAGAGTCTCCGAGACCATCCAAGTGTGTTTGGCGAACTTTGGCCAGCGGGGTGCGGGACTGGTGGAGGCTGTGTGCAAGTCACAATAAAGTGAACTGCAAGCGTGATTCCCAACACACTGCCAGACGCTATAAAACCCAGGCCAGGAGCCGAGTGGCCGGAGCAGAGTTGGACGGATGGAGCCTTGTGTTATACTGACTCTGACAATGAGTGTGTGACAGACACAGCATGTTTCTGGCATGTGTGCTGGGTCATCATTTAGAACTAACATTAAGTTACCGAAAAGTGCATTGAGGATTATTATACTGAAGGTGGGCTGTCCATATCAGTTTATAAGATCTCCGCCATAGAAACAAAGGTGAATTAACTTCAGTACTAAGCTGTTAAAATCTCCCAATCTAGAACATGTAAAATAGTTGTGCAGGAAGGTTTATCATGAAGTAGATAAGTCCTGTATGACCCTATTCTGCTTTTTGTTTTTTTTAATTTGACAGGCAGTGCCTTTGTGTGACCAAGTCTGTACTTGTTGGACTACTACTTTTATGTCACTGGAGCTTCATACTATATGCCTGTGGCCCACCCATGCTGGCTTGAAGATGGAAAATGACAGCTTCCATCACAGCCTTCTTCAACTTACAAACTATTTACTACTGTACATGCAAGAAGTAAAACTGAATATATTCCCAGGCTTTCTTAGAAGTGTGGGAGTTAAAATATGCATTTGTGAGTTAAAGGATATCCATTTCAATCACATGATATGAAGATTGGAAATTTGTGATAATATCTGCACCCTTAGGCAAGACATTCCCTCATCCAGTTGAGATGAGATAGTTCTAATTCTATGGTCATTATTATATGTAGATATACATATTGTGTCAGTGAATTTCAGTCTGGCAGGTTGGCAACACTGATTGGGAGCAGGAGCCACTCTTACCCGAAGGAGGGGGACTGTCACAGGAAATCTCTGCAGTTCCTTTAGGAGATCCAGAATTCGATCCTAAAGAATAAGTAGTAAGAAATATGTGTAATGTGGAAAGTACAAAAACAATAAAAGCATAAAGATATACAAAGTTGCTGAGTCAGTCAATCTGCAGTATCTCTACAAGTGGTTAAATTAAAACCTAGAATAGAGATACAGAGGCTGCCCTAATCATTGACCTATAAATGACATTATCGTAAATACAGTCCCAGTTGCATGGTTGACTTTGAGTCAGAGACCTGACATAAAGATTAGAAATTCACATGAAATTTAGAACAGACTTCTTCCAGGTCAGTGCAGGCAACTAGCATATGTTGAAGAAGGGGTCAACACAGGTAGCCTCTCTGTACAGGTTACCTTTAATTTCAGGTAGAACACATCTAGAATCCAATTAATGATTATACCTGTATAACTTAGAAATAGAAGTAATTTTAGAAAACAAGTTTAACAACTGTCCAATTACATTGTATATAAATAAGAAAAATATGAAATCAAAACTCCAGCTTGATTTTGTTTTTGGATAGGAAGGAGAAAGGTAGAAATCTCTATTGAGCTGATAGAACTTTCTTTGTCTTGACTGCGAACACTCTGGGGTTGATTTTAGTAAAACTGGAGAGTGAAAAATCTGGTGCAGCTCTGCATAGAAACCAATCAGCTTCCAAGTTTAGTTGTCAATGCTTAACCCCTTCATGCCTAAGGGTAAAACAAATCTAAATGCCTAAGCACAATTTTGCAACGTTGACATGTGTTAGTAAAATCGTACATATCATCACAACTACTTTGCACATCCAGGTGAATTATACCTTGTTCTTTTCAGGACAAATTGGGCTTTCATTTGGTGGTAAATGGAAATAGATATCTCCTGATTTATTTTATTATCAAAGGAAAAACTGGCCCAAAATAGTAAAAAAAAAAGTTTTCTTTTATTTTGCTGTATGTTTCTTGTTACTACCATAACCTACCACCAAAGAACAATCAAAAATAAAATCTTGACAATCGCAGCTATACCATATTTGTGTATGTTATTTGTTGTTTGTACCCATAGTACAGCCCAGAAACAATAGTGCACATTTTGTTTTTGTCTTTTTTTTACCTAAAACACATTGACACTGACACTGACACTAACTGACACTGGTACCAATTTTTTTTAAAAATCCTGACCTTTGACCCTGATTTTTTTACCTTGATCTTTGACCCTGACAAGGGGGCTGGGCTGTACAGTGACTAATCACTATAATAGCCAATCAGAGGCTATCACAGTGATCAAGTGACCCGGAATCGGGAGTCCCGGGTCCCGATCGTTAGAACGGGACCCAATGCTCTCAGTGACACCGCGGTCCTTGTGCTGGGAACATGCTGTACGGCGCATTCTCAGCAAAAAGACAGGTATGCAAATATGCGGCCCCACGGAAAAAAGCCCAGTTCTGTGAGGCTGCATATTTGTGTTATGTCGGTATCAACGGGTTAACTGAACAAGCTGAAGTAAAAAGCTGATTGGCTACCATATACAACTTCACCAGATTTTGTTTTAGCAAGTCCTCTGTGTTGTAAAACTATGTTTGGTTCATTAGTTTATTCATTTATTTTTTTATTACAGGTACTTATATAGTGCTGTCAATTTATGCAGCGATTTACACATACCTTAGATTGTACGCCCCTTGAGGGTTAGGGACTGATATGAATGTACAATATATATGTAAAGCACTGCGTAAATTGATGGCGCTATATATGTACCTGAAATAAATAAATAAATATACAGGGTCGGACTGACGACTCATGGGGCCCCCCGGGCAATAGGAAATCATGGGGCCCCTGTGTTCTCACCCACACTTAAACCACACCCAAAAAAACCTATGAAAGGTACCAGGGGCATCTCATGGGGCCCCCCATACTGACCCCGGGCCACTTGGGCAGTGCCCGAGTGGCTAAATGGTCAGTCTGCCCCTGCACATATATTCTTCATTAGTTTCCTCCCAATACCCCCTGCTCTCTACTTCACTTGTCACCTCCTCCTATGCCTACCTCCAGGATTTCTCCCGAGCCTCTCCCATCCTGTGGAATTCCCTACCCCAATCTGTCTGACTGTCTCCTACTCTGTCCACTTTTAGGCAATCCCTGAAAACTTTTATCTTCAGAGAAACCTATCCTGCCTCCACCTAACAACTGTACATGTATTTTCTCCATCAGCTCATCCCCCACAGTTATTACCTTTTGTATCACTTGACCCTCCAGTTTTAGATTGTAAGCTCTAACAAGCAAGGCCCTGATGCCTCCTGTATTGAATTGTATTGTAACTGTACTGTTTGCCCTCATGTTGTAAAGCAAACTGGCGCTATATAAATCCTGTTTATTATTATTATTAATAATAATAGTTGTCATCATTGCTAAAGTTAATATAAACACTAGCAATTAAATTATTTTATTTGCTCCCCTTTGGACTGTTTAATATACAATTTACATTGTTTTGGTATATCTGTTCAATATGTGCAATAAATACCTGTTGATCCTGACAAAAATCCAGTGCTGTCCTGTGCACTCTGTACTTATGCAGTATTATTATACCTGGCCAATTCTCCTCTGTGAACATCTCTCCCTTTTTTATGGAGATTAGGAGAGGGAGAGGTGTTCTGTCATCCTAACCCATTTCCTGTCCTAGGATTACAACACTGCTATACCATAAATACAGCACAGTAGGGTACTTCAGGGTTAGGCAACCCTGAAGAGGTGAACAGGGGCGGAATGACAACTCATGGGGCCCCCGGGCAATAGGGGATCATGGGCCCCTGTGTCCTTGCCCAAACTCAAAAAAGCCTATGAAAAAGGTACCAGGGGCATCTCATGGGGCCCCCTACTGACTCTGGGCCCTTGGCAGTGCCCGAGTTTCCAAATGGTCAGTCCGCCCCTGGAGGTGAACAACTTTGAAGAAATCATGGATCACCTGGGTGCATTTCACTTGTTTTTTTTTTTAAGGAGATAACCTAGCAAGGCCCCTTTACTACTTTGGAAGATTTTAAGAGTGCAGAATTCAGTGGTCAGTAGAAAGTAATGCAGCGTTCAGAGGCCGGTAGTATGTAAAGCAGAGTGTAGAGGTAGGAGTAAATAATACTGCATGTGGAGATCAATAGTGTGTAATACAAAGTGTTCAGGTTGTAAGTAAGGTTGCAAGGTTTTGTGGTAACAGGGGTCAGGGTTAACTCAAGCAGAGTTCAGAGGTCAATAGTATGTCATGCAGAGGCAGGGCTCAGGAGTATGTAGCGCAGAGTTCAGAGATCAGTAGTAAGTAACGCAGAGCACCAGGGTTAGTAGTAATTAACACAGAGTGCAGGGGTCACTAGTATGTAATACAGAGTGCAGGGGTCACCAGTATGTAATATAGAGTGCAGGGGTCACCAGTATGTAATATAGAGTGCAGGGGTCAGTAGTAAGTAACTCAGACTTCAGAGGTCAGTAATAAGTAACGTAGAGTACAGGAGTCAATATTAAGCAATTCAGAAGTCAAAACGACAACCAAGCCTTATATAATGAATGAATCTTGTATGGCAATTGTCACTTTTGAATTGACGAGGGTGCGTGTCCCTGCTTCTCTTTATCAGTGCCATGTAAATGTACCATGAATAATTTATCAACACTAAGCACATTTATACACTTACTGTATATTCTAATTGGGATCTTATAAACACAAATATGCATCACTCTAATTAATATTATTATACTAGCAAAAACATCTTCCAAACCATGAGATAGCCCATACCAATATTTTTTCTGAGACTAACAACATATCCAAAAATTCACTATTCACAAACAAAAGGCACGAAGTGAAGCCTTCATTTAACCCTTACGTTACACGTGAATTTAAAGGGTAACTCCACTTTCGTGGAAAAAAATCATAATATAGTGCACACAATTGCGACTCAAGATCATCTAGACCGGAATGTTTTTTTTCTCAACAAAAGTGGAGTTACTCTTTAAATGAAAAATCCACTTGGCTTCAAGTTTAAGAAGATTACTGTTCAAGTCTTCCTTCCTTGGACCCAAATTAACTTGTTCAAAGATCCAAAACTGTAATTGTTCAGTTCCCCCTCCATGTCTCTCCAGGACACGTCTAGCAAATGGTCTGTCCCTTTTCTAGGCAATATCATTGATATGCTCCAATACTCTTCATCTAAATTAACGGATTGTCTGACTACATACAATAGTGGGCAGGGACATTTCATGAGATACACGACTCCCTCCGTGCTACAATTATAGAAGGCTACAATTTTAAAGATCTCTCCATTTTTTTTTGGTTTTCAAATTCCTTGACAGTAGGGGCAAAGGCACAAGCTTTAAAACTGCCCCTCAGTCTATCTGGTAGCCAAGTAGGAGTCTTGTGCGCTCTTGGAATATTAACCAGATCGCTATGTACTAGCATGTCCCTAAGATTTCTACCTCTGCTATATGTAATCAGAGGGTCTCTGGGGAGAACTTCAGACAAGTCTTTATCTTCAAGTAGAACATTCCAATACATTTTGATAATACTGAAGATCTGGCCAGATTGGTTGGAATATGTCCCTATATTTTGCATTCCCGCTAGGTTATCTATCTTCATCCTTTTTTGACCAAGCAGGGATTGTCTCAGAACTACATTAACTTTCTCACACGATTTTCTGAAATCACAAATAGGATACCCCCGTCTTTTAAATCTTTCTACCAATTTAATGCTCTCAACTTGAAAGGCTCCATCAATTGAGAAATTTCTCTTTGCTCTCATGACTTGCCCCATAGGAATCCCTCTTTCAAAGACAGTGCATGTTGTCAACCAGTGGAGTAGATTGTTGGTAGATGTGGGTTTGCGTTAGACTAGGGGTCTGCAACCTTTAAGACATAAAGAGCCACTTGGACCCGTTTTCCGAAGGGGAAAAAAAGACTGGGAGCCGCAAAACCATTTAAAACAAATCCGACACTGCATATATTGCAAAAAGCGCTCTGGTCATGAAGGGGGTTTAAGGGCCCAGTAAGCAAAGGGTTAATCAGGGCCA